CCGGGCTTGCTTACCGGGCGAGTTGGTGATGGAGGCGTGGAAGCAGCTGAAGTTGATGAGGGCATAGGAGCACAGGAAGAAGTTGGAAATGATGGGCGCTATGGTGTTGAGTTCAGCTGCAGGGACCCAGGGAGAAGGAGGACAGCCCATTGGGCGACTCTGCCAAGGAGCCACCTGGCACCCTCCCTCCCAGGGTGGGGGACCCCAGACAAGCCATCGAGGCTCAGTCAGTCTCCATCTTCTCATCTGTGAAATGGGTCCATCATTTTGTGAAGCTCAGAGGGACGGTGTCTTGTAAACTGTAAGCTGGCTTTTAAGAGGGTCGGGGGCAGTGTGGGAGTCACCCCATCAGGCTATGGGACGACCAAGGGCAGTGGCTGTCACGCTTGTTTGATCACAAATTACAGTATGAAATACATTTTGCAACTTGAGCCAGGACACCTGAGACCGCGTCACAGTTCTGCCCATAGCGGTGACCTGCTCGAGAACTGGCTGCTTCTCTTCCCCATCTCACTGTCCCACTCCCCGCCACTGCCCCCGGCACCCCCAGATAAAATCTGCCTGTGAATCCTCATCCCAGGGCCCGCTTCTGGGGGTCCCAAAATGAGACAAGCACCTCTCACGTGCTGGGTGCTTCTGTCTGTGATTCCAATTAATCAGCCCCAGAACCCCGCCCAGAGCAGCCGCAGTCACGGTCCCGAGTCTGACGTCAAGCCAGAGCCACCCAGACAGAAGGACATCGAATCCCAGGCTGGGTGCCTGGCCGGGAGATGGGTTTCTGGGCCCAGGGACACCAGGCCTGATGGGCCTTTCCATCCCGAGTGTGGCCCTGCTGCCTCCTCATTTGGTTCGGGATCCAGGAGCACCGAGTGTCTGGAAAGTTCCCTCGGGCGACCGTGACTAGACCGTCAGGGCAAGTCGCACGGATTGGTGATGCCGGCCGGGCAGCAGGGATTCGGCCGCGGCAGGAAGGTGCCAGCAGCCTCCCCCAACCCCACTCCGGCTAGGGAGCAGGGACCAGGGCAACATCTTGTCACAGCATGGCCACCTCTCTCCTAGCGAGTTCTGCCTCCTTGGCTAAGTTAATCAGGAAGTATTGGGCATGTGCGCACGTGTGTGTTCATATATGCATGTATGGGTGTGGATGTGTCCATGTAGGCATGTGCGTGCACACACGGTCTCTTCCTGCCCATCTGTGACACACCCATTATGCGCTATGGCTCCCATTATGTAGATGAGGAAACGGAGGCTCAGAGAGGTCAAGTAACTTGTCTGAGATCACACAGCTGGCACACAGCAAAGCCAGGATAGAAAGTCAATCTAAGAACTAACTTACTGGGCTCTTTCTCCTAAGGCATCTCCCACCTTGAAGCCCAAGGGGTCTAGAAGCCCAGGGTTTGGGAAAATGGGTTTGTCTAGTTTATACACCTATGAGGACAGTGACCCAGCCATTTGTGTCAGTTCCCAAGGAGGAACAAGGCAGCTTGTCTTGGGCTCCAAAAGTGTCCTGGGAGCTCATTTAGACCTGGGGAGGGGGGTGCCAGCTGCCAAGACACTGGGATGCAGACCAGGGAGAGCAGGTAAGTCCCCTTCCAACGGAGCGGAAGGGCCACTGCCTGGCGTGGCTTGGGAGCCGCCCTGCCTGGAGGTGGGAAAGGGTCAATGGCTTCCCCACGTGTCTTCCCGGGTGGGGCGTCACCCACTCGAGAGCCCCCCACTGAGAGCACTGCGACCACCTGGCCTGGCTGAGCGCTGGGGCGCAGAGGCGAGGGGCAGGGAGGGAGCCCCCCGGCCCAGGCAGACTCTCACCGATGATGATGAAGGCCACGGCGATGGCGTAGGCCAGCAGGTAGCCACGCACGGGCTCGTGGTTCTTGCCGTAGCCTTTGCCGAAGAAGCCGATCAGCGGGTACAGCTGGTCCAGGCACAGGCACTGCGGCACCGGATGCCTCGCTTGCCCCGGCCTGGGACCCGCCACCTCCCCTGCCCCGGGGCCTCAGCAGGGCGTCCCCCGTCTGGGTCCTGATGTCTGTCTCTGTCAAACGGGGGGTGAGCCCCCCGCCGCCCCACCTCACCGTGAACACAGCAAGGGTCGATCGCTTGGGCTGAAACTCAGACGGTGGGTGGCACCCAGGCCGTCGGGCGGCACAGGTGAGACGTGGGGCGGGAACCGCAGGTGTCCCTCAAGTCACACCACAGGGAGGGGTCTGCCCAGAATGCCCCTTTTCCCTTCCCGCTGGAGACCCTGGTCGCACGACACCTCCGGGTCTCTGTAGTGGTCGCCCAGGGACCCCTCTAGCTGGGCCTCCCGACCCAGGCCCCCCGCCCCGCCCCTTTCCGGGGCTCACCTGGAAGACTTTGGCAGCAGAGACGAGGCAGGCCAGGGCGGAGGAGAGGGTGGCCCCAAAGATGCCGGCCGTGATCAGAGGCCCGAAGCCTGACACCATGCTCATGGTCTGCAGGGGTGAGGGGTTCAGGGACTCCCACGGGAGGGCAGAGCCGAGACCCCCCCATGGCACCCCAGTCCCCACTGCAGGCAGGAGCTGAGCCCTGAGCCTCCATCGAGTCCACAGCCCTCACCTGGAGATCCCAGCGCCGCCCACAGGCAGGACTGAGCGCGCCTGAGCGCCGCACCTCTGTCCCTCGAGCCCGGGGCCCAGCCCCCCAAACTCTGTCCTTGCAAACTTCCAGCCCCACACCCCCTGCGTCTGGCGGGGTGGCCCCCTGCCGAGGCCCCACGGCACCCTGCGGGACCTGGTAGTAGTTGCTGAGGCCGTAGCGGCAGCTGCGCTGCCGGGAGCACTCGGTGAAGTTCCAGCCGTAGCCGCAGGCCAGCCCCTCGCAGGCGCCCCAGCCCGGGGTCGCCGTGTCGTTCAGGACCCCGGAGGCATCGCGCACCACGCAGGAACCTGAGAGGAGGAAGGAGGGCGCGGGAGGTCTCCTTTCCCTCCCTCCTTCTGTCCTCTCCCACCCGCGGAACGCTGGTCCCCGCTGCGCAGGTGATAATAATGACAGCGGCTAATACGCAGGAGCGCTTACGACGTGCCAGGGGCCATGCTAAGCACTTTACCTCTCCCTGGGAAGCACGTGTTACTATTATTTTTCTTGCTGTGGCCATTTACAGAGGTGCAGGGGGCCTAAGTGACCTGCCCACGATCACCATGTCCTCCTTAAGAGGCCTGGGCCAAGTCCCTTGGCCATCTGTGCACAGCTTGGCTCAGAGGGGTCACAGGGAGCAAGTGCACCTGGGAGGCTCTCAGTTCAAGGAAGGTGTTAACAGCCCAGACCTGGGTCGAAAGCCAGTTCCACTACTCGGTAGCTGTGTGACCTTGGGCTGGTCACTTAACCTCTCTGAGCCCCTGTTTTCTCCTCTGTAAAATAGGGGAAACGACAGTACTGGGATTAAATGCGCTAGGGCATGTCAAGGGCTGGCACGTGGTGAGTCAGTTTGCTAGTATCATCCTCCTCCTCATTATTATTCCTAGGGTTGGAGCATGTTTTATCCTGCAAATCTGGAACCTCA